GATACTCCTATTTTTAGAGTGCTAGTATAGGCAATTAGGTCTAAGTCTTTTCATGATTCTTCTACATTGCTAAAATCGTGAGCCTTTTCCTCAAGATCTGATTTATCATGATATTCCTTGATTCGTAGTTTTGGAAAATTGGTCTTAAAAGCACGAACAATCCCTTGAACGTCTTTTCTGAGATAGCAGATAAGTGAAGCACTTTTCCGATTCTCAATAGGTAATGAAATCATTTTCTTAGCCCAATCCCAAAGTTCAGCTAATACAGTTTCTTTATTAGAGACCAAGCGGAATGTCTTGCCCTTCTGGGGCTGGTAAGTATTATGAATAATAGAGAAAGGTAAACCCTTGCGCAGGGTTTTAATTCATTCAATATTGAGGTCAGTTAGATCATTATTCATAACAATAATATGCCTTGCCTCTTGGATTAATTTATATAACTTTTCTATCGATTGACCTGCCAGACGACTTTGTGCTTGAGCAATTATAGATACTATTTTATCAAGTCATAAATCATATTGGATTGGAAGACATTTACATTTTTTACTGCATTTACAATTATTAGTAATCCGATGTAAGCTTTTTATCTGGCAAACTACCCTCTTGTGATCAGGTAGATTTATATTACCATCAATATCATAATATAATTTGAGATTGAGTCTTGTAGTAACAGCATTCGAGTAAGAGTGGCGCGTAGATAATACTAGTAAATTCACATCATCAGATATAGTAAGATGCTCTAGAATATATATTTTTCCCATCTCTCAAGGTGATCCTATGTAGATATCGCCTTCATTGGGTAATAGTCTTACATATCTCTCCTTATATGTTTCTGTCGCTATAAGGGGATCATTATACTGGACCCAAGATGGGAATTTTATGAAGACTTTAGGAAAACCTGGGTCTTTTATCTTGCAAATGCTAGACGCCGAAGATATATTTTTATTTTTTTGCTGAATTTTTTCTGCAATAAATGGGTCGCATTCAAAAATATCCCCTAGTTCATCACTATTCTGCCGAAAGCATTTTACGATAAACCTCCCACCGCTAGCACATACATAGCCGAATCACCTCTGATTCTTGTCATGTATACGTTTACATAGTGGACATTCTAGTAGAGCTTTCCAGTTGAAATATATGAAGTTTTCCTTCGTTTCTTCCTTTTCTTCGATAGTCCAATCCCTAAGATAGTTAGAATGCTTTT